AGAATCTAGCCACTATTTCCCCAGGCAGATTATTCTTTTTGATGTACACGGAATAGGACCTATAGACCACATCCATTTTGCTTGCAAGATACTCCACCTTCAAATCTGTAACTGGGGCTAATGCTTCACTCAGGAGTTGCTTTAGATTCTCACCTTTTAATTCTGGGACCCCTTGAAACCGTAGGACCAAATTTGCTTTCTCCATTTGCTGTAAAAGTTGTGATTCTTCAGAGACTTGTTTCTTTTCCAGCGTCTGCACCTTTTTCTTAACTTTTTTGGCATTGGCGTCCATTTCCTCCACCTTCTCAGCCATTTGCTCCGTTATTTTAAAAGTCTCAGTCAGTTGGAGCTGCTGTGTTGCTAGATTCTGGTTTAGATTAGTCAGCTGTTGTTTGATGTTAGTCATCTAATCCAGCAGAGGGCACAAGGACTCTGTTCACATTTTGAAAACTTGGTGGTCTCTTCCGGTCGAGGGCTCAAGTCGGCTGGTTTCACTTTTACTGGTTTGTCTTTCTCTGCCCTCTTCCCCGCCATCTTTATGGATTGTATACTTTCATGAAAACTTGCTAAAGTCTCTGAGATACGCCCATATGCTTATCCGTGCTCTGGTAAGTCTCTCAAAACAGATTTAAACGCTTTTTCTTCTGCTCCCCCCTTTTTGTTGTTTAATTCATGCGTATGGGAGGGCCCCCTCCCTCGCTCATTTTTCACCATTCCCAGGGGGTAGCTTTCTTTTTAAATTCTCGTTTCGCTTTAACCCGACTAACAGTTCATTGTTGGTCATACGACCTCGCTCGGCATATGTTTAAAATGCTCAATCTCCGACGCTTGTTCCGGTCAGCGGCTCTAGATCCAGTGGCAGGACCGTTGGGGCGGAGGAGCGCCTCAATTCCCCAGCATCGTGCTGGCGAAGAGGCCACCCCTCAAAAGCCCCATGGCTAGGAGCCTTTTGCCAAGGCTCCGGGGGGTAGCGACCCATCGCCCCCCCTCCTTTCCGCTGGTGCACAGATCACATCCCCGGGAGGTCCGGGAGATGCGTCTGCCAGCATGTCGCCATAAACCAGAAGCTCAGAGCTGCACCATTCTTAATAAGTTGAATTCTTTGGGCTTAGAAGGATTAACTCTGTTTAGAATTACATTGCCAGTGTTCATTTAGTTAGCGTAGCCTTTTTGTTCAGTTCATAGATAGCAGAAAAATTAACTGAAGTGTCACTTGTGATTCATTGATTAATTTCTTATTGTGAAGCATTGAGTAAATAAATTTAAAATTATTAGGGGAATTTAAAATGGATTGGATTCACTGTCAGAGTTTGATATCAGAAACGTATAAATGATGATAAATCTAATGAACTCAGAATATAAAAAAGCAAAAGTTTTCAGGAAAGGTGCTGCAAACCCCCCCCCCCCAAACTTTTGCTGTGAAATTTGAATTTTGTGGCTCAGTTGCATTTATGCTTCAAGAATCTCATTTGCTAGTTTAAGCTCAGTTTTATTCGTAAAACATTTTTTAAATGTTGTTACAGGTAATGGTAAGATTAGGATTTCAAACTTTGATTAGCAACATGGAAATCATACTGTACTTAGTTTAGGGTGTTAGCCTAGGCCCAAGGAGGTACAAATTCAAATTCCTGCTTGCCGAGAGACCTGCAGTACCATCCTAACCAGACTTATGCCATGCTACGTACTCTATGGACTTAGAAGGGAGTCATTCTGTTCAGGATTGCACTGCTAATGGGTGACTTTGGGTGAGTCGTTCACTCTCGGCCAATCCTATCTACAGGTTGTGATGAGGAAAGTGGGGAAACATGTGTGATGTCCTGAGCTTCTCAGAGGAAGGGCAGAATAAATACATATATATATTTAAAACTGCATTATCAGCTGGTGCTTCCATTTTATGTTCCAGATGGTAGATGCTATTTAATAGAAAGATAATCACTGTGTACTGATCTCTATTTAAATTAACATCAACAGAGCTAGGACACCACAGAACAAAACTGCAGTCACCTGAGGGTTCTGAGTACAGGCGTTCTAGTTATTGATAATATATACTAGATCTATTTTGGATGTCTGTATGGAGTTATACTAGAACAGTATGTAAAATAATAAGAAAACAGTTACTAATATTTTTGTTTCAATATTTTCTTTTGCTCTTGGATAGAATGGTGGCGAAATGCAGAGGTGCACTCCCGTACTGGAACAGCTTTCTTCCCACCACTTCTGGGAATTTCTCCTCTGTTTGCTCCTCCTGCTCAGAATCATGACTCCACTTCGTTCCATTCAAGAACTGCAGGAAAAAGTAATCGAGGCAGCTCAGAGAAAGGTAACTTCTAACACTGGAATGTAACAGAACATGCTTCATTCCAGAAAATGTATATTCTATTTTTTAAAAAATAAATTACATAGTCTAGATCCTTTGAGCATGCCGTGAGCGATGGAAATCCAGATAGTCTAATGGCCTCATTTACCTGTGATTAGTACACATTGGAAAATGAATGGGGGTCATGCCTGTTGTAAGATTAGACAGACTGCCCTACTGAAACCTACTTAAGGTAGCAGCAATGATGAATTTTGCTGTGTGCATACACATAATGTGCTTTAATAAAAATGGCTAGGTTCAAGTCCAGTAGCACCTTTATCTTTAAAAAATGGTATAGAAATTGTGACTAACAGATCTTGGCATAGCTGCTGTCATTGCTGTTTTGTGTATTCCGTTTCTTTTAACATTTTTTGATATTTTGAAATGTCCTTTCTTCTTGAAATAAACATACTAGAGTGGACTGGAAATTACCCGCTTCCTTTCCCCACTGTAGTCTACTTGGCCCACCAAGGTTTTGTTTCTAGGAGCTAGAAACCCCTCAGGAATAGCTTTGGGAGGAAAGTAAAAGCAATGGAAGGGGAAAATCGGTAGAAAATAAATCTTTGGAACTACTTGGTTGGAGACATGTTATTGTTATGTGTGTTAATACCTATATTAAAATACATCTTATTAAATATTATCCATGTACAAGCCTATGTTGACTCTTTTATTCAGTATTTGCTAACACTCAATTTTATTTAAAAAAATTGTTTTTCAAGGTGTTAATGGATCAGTAAATGGGAACAGTACCACGTCAGTATCAGGCATCAATACATCTGTATTATCCACCACCACTGCAAGTTCTGCAGGGCAGGCAAAGGTTATAACCTCAATAGGAGGAAGTCACAAATGTAACCAGGAACAAAATAAAACCCAGATTCTGGATGCCAGAGCTGACAAGATTAAAGATAAGGTAAAAAAAATAGTCAAGAATCTTAATCTAAGACATTTTTCTTTCTGTGTGTGCAGTCAGTGGAGATGCAGATGTGCATCCACGTGGTAATATTTATTCAGTCCTATTAAACATTACAGATACATTGATGTGGATGGAGATTGTGCATTTTATCTGGGGCCACTAATTCATATGTTGTATAATATTAGAACAGGATCAGGCTGAAGTAGCACTTAGGTCTTCCACCAACACATTGGTGTGAGGGCTGCCAGGCACAGTCTGGCAAGAAGAGAGAGATGGTGGGCATGGGGACATGGGGGGAGGGTGCAGCTAGCGGCAATGGAATAATGTCACTTGCGGGAAAACCTGGATGTGACATCATACCTCCCTAAGAATCACTGGAAACTTTACGGTAAAACAACTCCTAGAGAGAACTGACATAGCTTCTGGGCTTTCCTTTAAAAAAAAATCTCTGGTACACAGGACTGTACTGTATATTTCTGTATAGTTACACTAAGATGCTGATGGGAATAATGGTTACATGACTTAAGTCTAGGGTCCTGTGCATGTACAAACGCTTGAGAGTAACTTAGTGGAAATTATCTCTAAGTAAACTGGAATAGGCTATACAAACATAGCACATTTGCTCCAGATTTTTAGAACTAGATTGAATATTAAAAACAGATGTATAATAATCCGAGAGGCATGCGAACCTTCAATATTTTTCTTAATTTAAAACATTTTAATGCCACTTTTCTCCTCAACTTAGGGTCCCCAAGTGGCAGGCAAAATAAAAACATATAAAACAATTAAAAACAATCTAAAAGATCACATAACTGGGAAGGAACCACAGTGGAGAAATGCCAAACACTGATAGTAGGTGACAGATTAATTGTCCTCACTTTCAATGACAATGATAGTAGGTGACAGATGAATTTCCTTGGGGAGGGAATTCCATTATTCTGATGCCATCACTAAGAAGGCCCTTTCTCAGGATGCTTCCCATCTAGCCTCAGATGGCAGGGACACCCAAAGCAGTATTTCAGACATGAGCATAGCGGTCAGGTAGGTTCATACCAGAGTAGGCACTCCTTAAGATATGCTGGCCCCAAGCCCTATAGGACATGAAAGGTCAATTGCAGCACTTTGAATGGGACCCAGGTACAAATTAGGAACCAATGCAGGTTGAACACAACTGGAGTGATACGGTCAGCACATTTTTGCCTTTTTCATCTTGATGTCCTTTTGAAAGCCCCTAGCTGATTGGTACTAAACAGCAATTAATTAAACCCATGCACAGTCTAAGACTTTGATTGGACATACACAATGCCCTCTGCATTGACATGCAGATAGAAATACATGCCTTCATCATCTTGTAGTACTGCAGTGAATAATTTGCATTCAGATATGCATATGCATCCATTTTGTGAAGAGGGTTCCAAATTCAGCAGTTTAATTTGTGTGTGGAAGCAGTTTCCATATGCAGGGCTTCCTTCTGTGGTATATGACCACCACATTAGAATTTTTTGTCTAATTCATTTCTGTCTGTGCAGATATCTGAACAACAACATGCATGATCACATGCACAGTTATAATAATGAGTTGAAACTAGAAGTAATTTTCTGCCAGTGGAAGAGAGGGAAATGTTGCCAGTTCTCCTGTCCCATTGCAGACCCTACTTTGCCCCACCATGTTGTTCCTGAGAGTTCCCTGTTTTCAGGGAGCTTCATGAGTGAGAGGTGAGGGCTGGTGAAAATCATTTTCCCTTACATCCCTGGAGGAAAAGTACCTTTGGATTCAGTCCAATGTTTTTAGTAACCAAATTGTCTGCTTGTGCTAATTACAGTTACAGCACGTGTTTTCAGTGGGAAGTTGTGAAAAGGGTACTGCCCTGGAGATCATCATATATATCCGTTATGCAGCACTTCCAATTTGCAAAATACTTGTTTTGTTTGGCCTCACAACAATCCTCTGAATAGATCACTGTTAATCCAATTTAACTGATAGGAGCGAATTGCCCAAGTTCACATGATGACTCCATGGTAGAGGCAGGATCTGCATCTAGGTCTTGCAGAGTCACGTGAAACTCTCTATCCACTAAACAGTGGGTTGGATCCATCAGAGAATTTCTGCATGGGTAAGGGATGAGATTTTCGCCTGTTACACCCCTCCCCTAGGAGCGGCAATTTGGATAGCCAGGGGAGGTTGCTGTCCACAGGTGGAAGTCCCTTCTGCCCATGGAAAACTTCTGGTGGATCCAAGCTTATGTTAACAAGAAGATAATAAGGTGAAGTTTATTATTGTGTCAGGAAGACTTGGGTAGTTCAGATAATAAAAGATGTACGTATGCACAAATGTTTTTCCTCCTCCCAAGAAACCCAGGAAAAAAGCTGTGGATAGTTCCAGCAACAGCGAAAGTGATTCTGGCTCCTCTTCAGATACATCCAGTGAAGGCATTAGCAGCAGTGACTCAGATGATTTGGAGGAAGATGAGGAGGAGGAGGAAGAGGAGGATCAAAGTCCTGAAGAAAGTGAAGACGATGATTCTGATTCAGAAAGTGAAGCACAGCCGAAAACTAAGAACAAGGTGTGGTAGCACTAGGTTCTGTGTATAGTCTTTTATAAGCCAGTCTTTTTAGCTTTATGCAGCTGGGTGAAGGGCAATAATGATGTGTAAAAACGCTTTGGCAACAGTTAACCTGGCAGTTAGCCTCAGCATACCCCCCTCAGTTTGGCACAGTCCCCTCCCAGGGGGAACAAGAGCAAAATCATGCAAAAGGTTCATTATAATAAGCAAGCGTGAACAAAAACGGTCAGATCTTCTCAGAAAAGTGATCCATAATAGAAATGTGATGAATAATTAATTAATTGGATCTAAACAGTGCTTTGCTTAAGTTCACAAGTGGCTGGTTCTCCACTCCTACCTTAAATCAAGTCATTTAGGAATTCTCTTTCTTACAATTTAGTCTGGTTTTTTTAAAAAGGTTTCTAATCTAAAATAAATAGAGGACATCTTTTTCTGACTGCTAGTGGTTTGCTGAAGGAATAAAAGTCACAAGGGAGAGCTACAACTATATTTTAGGAAAGTAACTAACCCATGTCCTATTTTATTATATTGTGAACTAGAAATATACAAAACAGATATTAGGCCAAAGAAGTAATGCGTGTCTCAAAGGTTCAGCTGCCCTGTGTGTTGCCATGGCTACTGAATTCTGTTTACAGCTGCTCTTTTCCTCACATAGCAGTTAACACTGTCCAGTAACCAGTAACCAGAATGTAAACCTCAGCGTTCCGTTAGGCTAATCGTTTGGCATACGTTCAAAAGCAACTGAATTTTTCAATGTGCATTTTTATTCTGAACTTCGGCTTCACATAGTGAAAGGAGGACGTAACAGAATAGTGTGAAGGAGACATTCTGTAAGGTTAATTTAAGATTTATTAGAAAGAGATGACAGATATTCAGTGTGCCTGTTTTGGTGAGGCTGCGGCAGAGTGCATGCCAGGGACTGTCTAATCTGTTTTTTAGTGTTTGATCATTGTAGTACTCCTTTAATAAACGTTGTGTGCCATCAAGCCACAGCAGACCCATGGTGAACGGGGTTTTTCAAGGCAAGAGATGAACAGAGGTGGTTTGCCATGGCCCTTCCCCTGCATAGCAACACCAGTCTTCCTTGGTGGTCTCCCATCCAATTATGGCTGACTCTGCTTAGCTTCCAGACTCTTACAAGATAGGGCTAGGCTGGGCTATCAGGCTTCTGGGACTACTTTAGCAACTAATTATTAATATAATGTACTAGGTCTTCAGCTTAAGTGGGTATGCATGTATATATATTTTTTTCTGTGTTTGCAGGTGCTATTGCATAGTGGACCAGAGATGAAAGCAGACGGACAAAAAAACCATGAAAAGCCCCAGGAAAAGAGAACACACCAGCCAATACCTCTTGTGTCTGATACCCAGACTCACCCATCATTCCAGTCCCAGCAGAAGCAGCCTCAGGTTTTGTCACAGCAGCTTCCCTTTATTTTCCAAAGCTCTCAGGCAAAGGAGGAATCTGTGAACAAACATACAAGCGTAATACAGTCTACGGGATTGGTGCCCAATGTGAACCCTTTGTCTTTGGTAAATCAAGCCAAAAAGGAAACTTTCTTAAAACTTATAGTTCCTTCTCCTGATCTACTCAAGGCAGGGAATAAAAATACCTCTGAAGAACCTAGTCCATTGACCATTGATGTAAGATCAAACCGGGTGAGCAGATTTTAGTTTTCATTGGGTGCACATTACTCTGGGGACTGTTTTTTTTTTTTTTTAATTCAGATTAAGACAGGGTTTTGTCTTGGAGTTTGTAAAAAGCCTGTGTGGACTAACTATCTCAACTTTTCACAGTGTAAATTTTTAAAATTATGGAATTTTGTAATTTTGAAACAAAGCTGTTTCTTACATCCTACAGGCTGCAATCCTAAACACAGTTTCCTGGGAATAAGCCTAATTGTATAAAATGGGACTTATTTTGAGCAGACTGTTTTAGGATTGCTCCCATGATGTAATAGCAGCTTTTAAAATCAAGACAGTATTAAAATGATGGGTGCCTGTGAGTTCACTTGTAATTGGTAGAGTGTTGTTTATAAATGCCATAAAGGAAGTACGGGAAACCCTCATGTGGTGGAAGACCTTGCTGACCCTCTTCTCTTCCACCATGTAGATAACACCCAGTGTCAACTGGGCACACCACTAAAATGCTCAGTCACATAAAAGGTCCAGGTTATGTGGTCTGTCATCTCCAGTGCTCCTAGTTTGGGGTGAAAATGGGCAAGCTGCAGTCCAGTATCCCATCCCCCACTGAGGAATGTCTAATCCTTCTCCATTCCTTCTGCCCCCTTCACACATGTTTATCGTATGTTCATAAATGCCATTAAGTTGCAACCAATTTATGGCACCCCGGGGGGGGTGTTCAAGGCAAGTGTGAAGCTGAGGTGGTTTACCATTCCCTTCCTCTGCACAGTCTTTCTTGTTGATCTCCCATCCAATACCAACCCTGCTTAACTTCCAAGATCTGATGAAGTAGGGTTATACCATGCTGCCTTCCCGCCATGCTTACCCTACCTACCTATTTATTTAGTGAGGTAGGGATAAAGGGAACAAGAGAGAGGTTGCTCCAGTCCCTTTAATGTCTCTCTGACCAGGATCTGGGAAATTATGTGACATTACAGGAGCCTTAGAGGTAATCTCCCATTTCCTGGTTGTGGAGTTGTCTCAGGAAGGTGCTGGAATGTGGCTCACTTATGCAAGCTTCACTGCCTTTTTATATGGTATCCCTTCCTTAGGAAATGGCAGATCATTCCCGAGGCTCCTGCAGTATCATGACTGGGGTAAACCATTTTCTGGTGAGGGAGATGTCTAGAGAGAGCAGAGTACAACTTAGATATGAGGGAGCTATGCTGCACTGCCCCAGGCACCCCTCATATCAGGAAATGGGAGATTCTTCCAGAGCTGAGCAACTTCTAGTTTCTTGGTGGGAATGGATGGGCCAACCCTCTCTAGTTGGCAGTGTGCTTTCTGCTAGGCTATGGGCCTTGGTAGGTGACTTGCTATGCTGACTCCTGATGACAGCCCTGTTCTTCTCCCTTTGTGAGGGGGAAGAATTGCTGTGTGGGCTTACAGTGGAGCTGTATGCCGCATAACTAATCCTAGGTCACTAGGGATGCCAGCCTCCAGGTTGGATTTGGGAATCTTCCGGAATTACAGCACATCTTCAGGTGACAGAGATTAGTTCCCCTAGAGAAAATGGATGCTTTGAAGAGTGATCTATATGGCACTGTACCCCACTGAGGTCCCTGTCCTCCCCAGGCTCTATCCCCAAATCTGCAGGAATTTCCCAGTCTGGATCTGGCAACTCTACATCCCACTCCTTACTGGTGGCCAGGGGTGACCTAGCAACCCTACATGTCACAGAAGAATCTAGAATGGGTCTAATGGGCAATATGCATGGACTCAGCGGGAGAACTTGAATTGTTCAGAAAAAGTACAGCATGAAGAGAAGGATTTTACATAATAAATGGCTGTGAGGAAAGGATCCTTAGCCCCACATGTATCCATTTTACTAAGGGACCTCACAAATGAAGTACTAAGCTGCCATTACATCATTAAAAACATAAACATTTGGAAATGTGTGTATTCTGCTTTAAAAAAATTTTTTTGCTAAAACAGATGAGTATGTGAAGGTCAACAAAGTTGAATGGAGACTCTAGTTGGTAAACATGAACTGCTTCATACTCTTCTCCAGCAACTCTTGTGGAGTTTTTTTGGTTCCTGATCTCATGCTTCCATACTCTGTCACAAATGGTAGGAGATGTACATGGTATTGCCAGTATGAAGGAAGAATATGTATCTCCCCCCTTTAAATGAGGCCCAGCAGCTAGGGATAGGAAGTGCAGAGCCGTACTTCTTCAGAATCCAAATATCATTATTTCCAATTTTATACCCCATCTTTACAATATGAAGAGAAGATGCATATCCCATTCCCTGTAGAGGAGATCCAAAAGTATAGGCATATGTCCTTCAAACTTTCATTCTTTCTTGTTCTTCAGAATATCTTAGGCATGTGTTAGAACTGTAAACTTCAGGGCCCTTGAAAAATTGATGGAGCAAAAAATTAACTCCAGAGGGACTTGCAGTACCAACTCAGAATTCTAAGAGGTTTAATAACGTCCTCGGTATTCATATTTTAAAATGTCTTTAAAACTTGTTTTGTACAAAAAAACCCAGCAACAGCCCAGACCTGGTGGTTCTATAATCTTTTTACCACATTTTCTCACATTATTGGGAGATTATTTCATTAATGCAATGTATAGTGGTTTAAAAAGGTGAAAGCCTCTGGAAAGGTGGGATATGTTACAGTATGATTCTTTTGTGTTACTGAAAGGAAGTTGATCCTGGTTTGACAGCTCCCTTAGAAAAAGGTTGTACACATGAAGTTTTTTTTATTACGGTATATACTTCTAACTTGTATGTGAATTTAAGACAACTTGATGGCACTCCTGGGAAAAAAATCAACCTAGTCCTCCTTTCAGGTAATAGAGCAATCTCTATTACGTGCTTATAAGAAAAATGTAGGATTTTTGCCATTCAAATACTGATTAAGAAATTCACAGTGGAATCCTAAACAAAATCACACCCTTCTAAGTCCACTGAAGACAATAGACTTAAACCTCAATTTAGGATTGAACTGTTAGTCACTAAAAACCAATGGCTCACCCCTGAAAATGCATCCTGGTAAAGCGTCTGACCCTAACATTTCCCCATTGTTTCTGTTAGTTTCAGTTACATTTTAGACATTCTTACGCTTGGCATATAAACCTTGCATGACAATCTAGTATGCGTATTACTTTTTTATTTTCAGTTATTATTTTTTCTACCTTCAGAACATGTTGCATTCCTTCTTGTTGCCCTTGAGATAATCAAAAGAGTGAGCACAGCTCTACCTTACCAACTATGCTTGCATCAAAGAAGTGCGGGTTTCCTATTAATAGTCAAGGAGAACTGGGTGGCATAATCACATTGTATGTTGATACACCTTTTACATTTTTTAATGGAAGGTGAAATGCTTTTCTTGCATTTTTTGCAGACAGTGGAATGTTAGCATGGTCCATGCATGTTTTATGATTTTCAGTAAATATGCTTAATGGCTGAGGTTTTGTAACTAATGCTTTTTGTTTAACAAAAAGTTAGAAGTCAGTAATCCATGTATTCTAATTTGAGTGTGGTGAATTAATGTGGTTTCCCGTGGTTTCCTACAGTGTGTATTCATTGTAGATTTGTGAACAAAGGTTTTAATGGCCAGGTTTACAGAATAGACATAACATAGGAGAAGAGATTGAAACACTAAAGCAGCACTTAACCTCTAGAGGTTACATTATGCCTCTTATCTGTAATGCTTATGATATTTTATTTTCACCCCACTGCTAAACCCAGTTTATTCAGAAGTGAATCCCATTAATTACAGTGGGAGCTCCTCCCAGGTAAGCATGGATAGGGCTGCAACCTCTTGATCTTTCTTCCTTCATAATAAATACTTGAAGAACACCAGCATGGCTTTGTTCATTCCCTTAAGAAGTTAATTTTATCAGAGGTTGTATATTATAAGCTTTCCCTCAGTAGCTAACTGTTGGCATATCCCTTATCCCGTTCTTCTGCATGTATAGCAATGGCCCTCCACCATTCCCTCTACAATGACCTTCCAGAATGACAGACAGCATACTTAGTTTCCTTTTCTACCCACAACAACCTTATCAAGTCACAATTCTGGAGTAGTCCCTTCTTGTATCTTTCTTCCTATATAATCAAGGCAACATTAGTTATCTTAATTTAGAAAGCAAAGCTGCTTAATGAACTGGATAGGTACCTACCTGCTTTCCCATCTATTTAAAATAGATAGGCAAACTAATAAGGTTATTTGCTATGATCTTTGGTTATATCTTTGGTTGCCTTTGTGTTTCTGCAGGAACAGTACAAACAAACATTCCCAGCACAGTTAAAGAAACAACACGAATCATCCAAGAACCTGAAGAAGGTTGTCACAACAGTATCAAGTCCAAAGCCAACCTGTTCATCACCAGCTCATCAGAAACACACATCTGTAGAAAACAACCATTCTAATCCTTTCTTGACCAATGCACTTTTAGGTAACCATCAACCCAATGGAGTTATTCAGAGCGTCATTCAGGAGGCTCCGCTAGCACTTACCACAAAATCCAAATCTCAGCCCAAGGCTAGTGAAAACGTACCTACTTCCAGCAATGTAACCTTTTCCTCACCAGTAAATTTAAGCACGTGTGGGAAAAAGACACCGAGCAACCGGACACCTGTTATGTCCTCTACCTCTCCTGTATTACCTGGTCCAGCAAAGGAAAAGGCTGTCAGCAATAACGCAATAACATCAGTAAAAACACAACACAACCATCCTTCCACAAAATCATTAGTTGAACAGTTCAGAGGACCAGATTCAGACATTCTCAGCAGTAAAGATTCCGAAGACTCGAACGATGAGGATGAGGATGACGACGATGAGGAGGAGGATGAAGATGAAGAAGATGAAGATGAAGATTCTGATGACAGTCAATCAGGTTTATTGAAAGTTAAAGAAATTGTGTTAAATTGTGTTAAATGCATGTCTTGCTGCCTTCCAAATGCATGCATCTATCTCTTTCCTCCTTCAAATGCCATGAGTAATAATGCAGAGGACCATTGTTCTAGTCTGGTTCCTATGACAATTGTAATTTACAAGATAAGAACTACAGAGTGATTAATTGATGGTCAGCCTGTAGGTTGCATAATAGGCTCACTTGCTTGAGGTGTTGCTATTCCTGCTACAGTTAGATCATGCCTATGTGGTTTGGGTGGGGGTAGTAAAGAACAAGTGATACAAGGGTTTCCCAGACTTTGAGAAGAAGTAGATGTGGGGAGGAATGGAAAGCTAAAGTATTTTAGTGTTACAAACAACCTTGACCTACAAGTTATTTCTAATGCTGTGTTATTGTATATAAAAACTCTGTGGCAGCCTTAATGGGGAGAGAATTGATTTATTTGTATATGTTTGTGTTCGGTGGCATCATTCTGATTGAAAGCAATGCAGAACCAAAATCAGAACCCTAAATTTTGTCTGGAAGGTTGAACAAAAGTGTCGTTGTGTTCATGCTTTTGAGGATGAAGGCTAGTATGTTCTGCACTAGCTTCAGTTTCTGTGCAGTCCTCGGCAGCAGAAGAACCGTATGGTTATTAAAACTTAAAATTGGTCTGAACAGCTTATGAAATGACAAGCCAAATAACACCTGCCACGTATGGTGGCTTCATGCAGGGCTCAGTGCACTTCTTATTTTTGTTGCCTACCTGGGATGTAAAACAAAACATAAAGGATCTTGAACATTTTGGTAGGCCACAATATCTGGTTTGTGGGTTGAGTTCAGTTAAAGTGGATGACCAGTTGGGGAGGCCAGTTACCAAGGATTTGAAGGCCAGAAAATGAATCCCAAATGAATTGCAGAAGCTTTAAGGGAATATTGCCACTATTCCAAAAAATACACAGCAAGGGTTCAACTTCTGGGTCAGAATGTGAAGCCAATAGATGGCCAACATACACTGATTCTTCCTCGCTGTGGTTTGGAATCCCTTATTATAAGTCACATACTTCTTTTGCACTGCCTACAAATGGCAGAATGGGGATATATCAATTTCTCATAATTCGTGGTGCTCTCTGTTTTCCCAAAGAATCTGATAGCAATTCAGAAGGGTCTGACACTGAAGGATCTGAAGATGATGAGGAAGATGATAAAGATCCAGATGAATCTGAGACCGACACGGAGGGAGAAAAGTCTGCAGTTAAATTGAACAAAACAGCTTCCTCTGCCAAAAGCTCTTCCATCAATCTTGCCACTTGCTCGACTCCACTTAACCTCCAAGTAGCAAAGACCCCGAGTTCTGCTCCTGCAGCGTTATGCCCCAAGTCCCCTTCACCCGTCTTTGTGGGCACTCCTCCGCCTCCTCTTACGTCAAGCACACACTGTGGTATTGCAATGATTTTATCTAAGAAAACGCGGTTATCAGAGGGATGCTTAGTTGGAATCTAAAAAGGGGTGGCAAACTGTTTGGTTCTTCTCAGGATTCAACCTTGAACTTGCAGTTCATTTTGTTCCATTTAAGTTTGGGCCTCTTAGCACTACATCACGTTCCTTTTTCTGAATCACAAATCGATCTCTGCTAGGAACAAACAGGCAGTTGGTATCGTGTGAATAGCAGAGTTTCCTCTTTTATTCTAGAAAAATTAACTAAAGTCGCTTCTGCACGGGGGTATTTGGTGGAATACAGCATGGGATCACTTGTGGGAGGAGCTTCCACGTGATGTCATTCTCCTGACAAGCATGACATGTGGAGCTCCTAGGGCTCGCGCTTTTAAGCCAGAGCAAAGGAAAAAAAATTCTGTGCCCTGACTTAAAGGGGAAATGTGGGGTGATGGTATGCAGACCCTCTGTGTGGAAGCTCTGCCCACAGTCAACCTGTGGGGGGATGGCACTACACTCCCCCTTCAAATGACAGTGCTAAGCTCTGTTTTTCTCCCACCTTTCAGCCCTTCAATTGGCTTCTTTTTTTAGTTAAAAGCTGAGCTGTGATGCTTTGAGCTGGTGCCGTTCCTGTGATCCCCACCCTGCTTGCCACTGCTGCTGCTTCTCCATTAGGGATGGCTCCCCCCATGTGTAAACAACTTAGGAGGCTGCTACAGACAATGACTTCTGACTTCCCTCCTTCTCATAAGAACATAAGAGCCTCTATGCTAGATCAGACCAGTGATCCATCTAGATGGGCATCTTGTTTCACACAGTGGCCAACTGTATGCTCCCACAGTGGTGGCCCTCTTCTTGTCCAGAGACAAGAAGAGCGAAAATGAGTGAACAGAGAGGCTTAGGCAGCAATTGTTGCCAAAGGTATCATATTGCAAGATATTCCCAAATTCTCCTTGCATCCAGTCTCATCTGGCTCGGCCTATCTTGTAACTATAATCTTTCTGCCAAGCTTTCTGATACAATGCTCATCTGAAGGCTCAAGCGCATATTATGGATTCTTCTGTGTAAATTTTGAACTGTGTAATTTTTTTTCCTTTTGCAAATTTAACTGCCAGGATTTAGTAATTGCCAGGCAGAATCAGCTCAGAGACGGCTTTTTCCAGCAAGAAAATGGCAAGGGTCAGGGGGAAGGCTTTATGTTTCTCTCTTTTCCCACGATGTTCTCCTCCTTGCGAAAGCAATACTAATGGCTGAATTTGCAAGAGTAGAAAAGTAATTTCATGGAAAAACCTTTAAAAATAGGGCCAAACTAGACACAGAGCACATGCAGCCCCGAAGTGGGGTAAATGACACTTCATGGGGCCATTTTGGATCAGGAAAATGGCATGGGGGACCTGAAGTCCCAACCTGCACCATAGTCCCAATCTGAATCAGACCCTGGAAGTGCTTGAACATTAGTTCCTGACATCTGCTGTCTGTCTAAGGGGAATGGTCTCTGGGTCAGCAGTTGTTTCCACAACCTTGACCTAACAGATTTACAGTGCAGGAAATAACAATCTTGCAAAATATACTGCAGAGTGCTTACTGCATTATGTAGTAAATGATCAAGACAGAATTTAACTCATTAAAATAGCAGGTTAAATTATATATACCCAGATAGCTTTAGTTTTCTTTAAAAACGGCCATTCACAGTTTCACAAAGTAAGCAGTGATTTTGATTTTCCTACCAGCTGCAAATTAGGAAAAACTGTTCTTTAGATTAGGGTTTTTTTTTTAAGTTAGGGTTTCCACTACAGAATTGTAATTTATGACTAGTCATTGATGTACATTGAATTTGAATTGGCCAGTTCTGTATGTGTGACTTTTAGTTACAATGGGGGGGGGGGAGGCAGAGAGCATTTAGATAGTAGGGTTGGAGCTTCATGTGGGGAAAAGCAAACAGACAAAGTCTGGTTATACCCCTCTCAAAGTGCATCCATTGTTCAAAAAGAAATTCTCAAAATCAATAAGATGCTTTATGTCATGACAGTTATCCAATAAGCCACAAGCATACTGAGTTGCATTGGCTTCAGAACTGCTGAGGATCACAGCATTATCTATAAATATATAGCTTACTTACAAGCAAGTTCTTTTAGTATCCTAGCCAGAGACACTTTTTAGAGTGGAATGAATATAATTTGTCTGCTCAGGGTTAATGAATCAAAATGATACCATTGGTAACCTGTTATATTCTAAGGTTTTCTATGTCTTTAATATTTCTAATGCAATTGCAATCTGTGGCTTGGTTCAGGGAGGCACTGCAAAACCATGGCTTGCTTAAACTAAATGCAGACTACTTAAGTAACTATGACTAGTTAGGAGCCAACTATCCAGGATCTAGAGCTTGTTTAGTAACTATGGTTTCACGGGAGTTCTGAAGACAGATGTTTCTGGTTGTTCTCTTGGTGACACCCTCCCAGACTACAGAGAGAAGCATTTGACAAGGCAAACCAGGATATGACCGATTGTACCTGAGCTGAATCCTGGCTTCCCAAATGAACAATATTTAAAATAAATCAGGTTTTTTGTGTGATATCTGAACCAAGCTGACAGAAGCGCTGTTGAAGCTTCCTGAGATTTACTGACCCTTTAAAACTGTCTCCCAGGAGTCATTTCGTAGAAAAAGAGCTAGGGGAACTCATTAGCATAACTCATTAGCATATGCCACACCCCCTCAATATTTAAAATAAATCAGGTTTTTTGTGTGATATCTGAACCAAGCTGACAAAAGCGCTGTTGAAGCTTCCTGAGATTTACTGACCCTTTAAAACGGTCTCCTCTTTTAAAATCAGGTTCCATTTCTTCCTATCCTTGTATGTGTTTTTGTGTGTGAGACAGCAATCACCCAGGGAGGTTTTAATTATTACTTTTGTCCTTGCAGACAGAAGTTGCAAACATGTATGTTCCTCTACTACTTTTAGGTAGGCAAAAGATGCAAATAAACCAGTAGATAGATGAAAAGATATAGGAGAAGGCGATATGCTGTCTAAAATGGCCAGGTTCCATTTCTTCCTATCCTTGTATGTATTTTTGTGTGTGAGACAGCAATCACCCAGGGAGGTTTTAATTATTACTTTTGTCCTTGCAGCCAGAGGTTGCAAACATGTATCTTCCATGTTCCTCTATTACTTTTAGGTAGGCGAAAAATGCAAATAAACCAGTAGATAGATGAAAAGATATAGGAGAAGGCGATATGCTGTCTAAAATGGCAAGACATGATTGTGGAATTATAATTTCTGTTTTCTCCTCTCTAAAATCAATAAATTCTATTCAAGGTACTTCAAAAAGGCGAAGAGTAACTGATGAGCGAGAATTGCGCATTCCTCTGGAGTACGGGTATGTAAAAGAAATCTTTGTGCTAAATTTTGGCAACTGGTTGTGTGAAGTGTGTTTACACTCTATAAGGTGAAGACTTTGAAATATCATTATAGGTCTGAATCAAGATCAAAAATTAACTACAATACTTAATGAGATAGAGAGAGTTCTAATTTTTGTCAGAACCGAGGGCAGAAATCCGGTTGATTTGGGAACCGCAGATTTAAGGTTGCTAACCTCCAGGTGGAGCCTGGAGATCTCCCGCTATTACAAGTGATCTGCAGATGACAGAGATCAGTTCCCCTGGAGAAAATGGCTGCTTTGGAGGGTGGAATTGTACCCTGCTGAGGTCTGTCTCCTCCCCAGGCTCTACCCAAAAATCTCCAGATATTTCCTCTCCCAGAGCTGGCAGCCCTAAACATATTCCTACTCAGGCAACACAAAGAAGGCTGGGAGGGGGCATTTACAGAGGAGAACTGAAGAGGATTAATGTGGCTCTGAGACAGAGCATGTGCCTGGCATTCAAAAGGTCCCAGTTAATCAGATCTCAGGCTGCAGGAGTTGGGAAAGACCTATCTCTACCTGAGACCATGAGCAGAACACCACTTGTGGTTAGGAAGCAAACCAGGATTTGTCTCTTTACATATAATTGTATTTTACTGTAGCTGGCAAAGGGAAACGCGAATAAGGAACTTTGGTGGTCGTCTTCAAGGAGAAGTAGCCTATTACACACCATGCGGAAAGAAGCTACGGCAGTACCCTGAAGTAGTAAAGGTATATTTTAAATGTTATACTGCCTGGTAGTTTTTAAGCATGCGTACAGGTTTTTTTCTTTTTTAAAATGAACTTTTTCCTCCAGTAAAGTTCCTTGATGCAAAATGTCCTCTTATGTGAGGCTAATGTACCTTAACCCGCCACTAAATTGACCTCTTGTAAATTCATATTCCCCTTGCCAGAATATGCAAAAAAACATTTGACTTCTCTAATATTAGCTGTACATCAAAGCTGGGTTGTAATGACTAAAAAGCTGAAGTGGAAAAATATGTGATTTTTTCAGTATCTCAGCAGAAATGGAATAATGGATATCTCAAGGGACAATTTCAGCTTCAGTGCAAAAATAGGAGTGGGTGACTTCTATGAAGCCAGAGATGGACCGCAGGTATCCACTTTTTTAAAAAAGTAGTCTTTGATCCGAGGAGTAGTATCATAAATCTACGTTAAATATTTTTTTTTACTACACTCTGGAGCATTGCTATTCTTAGCTGGTTCATTCTTACAGCCGTACATTTGACTTTTTCGCTAGTGGTCGAGAGTGACTGAACATGTCCCTACCCAAAAGTGCTGAAAACCTTCACAACCCAATGGTTTTAGACGCACAAGTCAGGTGTTCAGAACCTCTCATAATCAGGTTGGAAGCTGCAGTTATGTAATATTATGGGCCTTTGAGATTACATATATTCATTTAAATATTTCTTAGATCCATTTTATTCTCTTTTTATATATGTAGCCGTCATAGGTAGTTGTGTTCATATATCATGGATTTTTTTCATTCCATTGTCTCTATGGCATTTGTTGAAATATATAGTAAAACATAGAAATATTTGTTCTGTGCAGAGAATGTTTTATGGACTCCAATATACATAATTGAGATTAAAAAAACAGTCACCCCTAGGGAGAATATGATAAATGTTAATGTTGGGGGGGGAGCATTTGTAGTACGCTATAGCTGTGAGATTCCCAATTTCTGTTCTTTGCCACATACAGTGCAATCCTAAGAACACTTTATTTATATTAGATGTATCTTTATATCTTCAGCTCCTTCTCTGTCACTTGCTTTTGAGATTATTCCTATGAGATGGTCTTGGTTTGGCAGTATGAGTGTTCTTGTTTTTTTAAAAAAAATGGTTTCCACAGTTGCAATATAAGTGTGTGTAGATATGATCAAATATTCCCCCAAATTTCCTTTCATTGTTGAAGCTTTTATATCCTAACCCCTACAAAAATATGAAATAATGCATAACCATGTTTTGCAAATGGAGCTATATTCATTTTTTAGACAGTAGCAGAAGGAAAACTATTAACTATGCTCATTATTACAAGGGCTGAATCACGGAAAGTGGGGCCTGTATAACATGTAAAATCAAGGGTGAAATTTAGACCTAGGTCTCACAAACAGCACATATTCTCACTGCCATGTCAGAAAGAATTTAAGGTGAGAACACTTCTTGCTAAGGAATATTTAGGCATGTGAGTCAAAATGTAACAGTCAAGAAGCAGTTTTACCACCTCGTCTGCTGTATGGGAGAAGTAGGCCTTGGAGTATCTATCCACTGAACTTCTGTAGTTGTCATTATATCTCCTCAGGGACTAATGGGTAAGGTGGTTCTGGGAAGAAGATTTGAGATCTCAAAGGAAAAATTCTGAGAAGACTAATGTAGCTAAAATCCCCAGATTCTGTGAGAGAAGCCATGATACTAAAACTGATATAAAATTAGTTTCCCTAAGGGTATAAGTAACTACACAATATATTGGTTTTGTGCTGTTTTTACGGTCACAGATTCATCAGTGAAATTCTGGACATTGCAGTTTGGTGAGAGGTTTGATTACTGGGTTGGATTCCACCTAAAACTTTCACCTGTCAAATAGGGGATTGATTCCCCCTTCCCATGCAATCCTCTGATTCCCCACAAGCTATTCATGGAGGTCTTCCATACCCTCGGAACAGCATTTGGGGACATATTTCAAGCTGCTGTGGGAGAGGGAGAATTGAGCTTCTATGGATGGAAATCCTTCCATCTACAGAAATTGCAGGCAGGATCCAAGTCACTGTTTGGCAAATGTTTGGTAAAAATAAGGGTGAGGGTGGATGGTCGATAGAAAATATTCCAGTTTAAGCCTGTACTGTAGAATATACCCAAATATTTGAGTAATCAGAACTGTGAATGAAATGGAATTATTTTTCTTTCCACTTAACGTTGGAACCCCCAATCCTCCCCAAAACCTACTCCTCAGGTTTGGAGAGCTTGAAAGTTGCATGGGATGAACATCTAGAAGGAGGATTTGTTGGGAATTGCCCTTTTTCTTTCTCTCTTGCACAAGCTCTTACAGGAATGGAGTGAGAATTCGTGGTGTTAGGCACCAGTTCCCCCAGTCCAGCTCAAGTCGTTTCTGAGGATCCCTGACTCCAAGAAGCACTTTTTTAGGGAGCTCCCATGGGAAGGGGAAGGCTGCAAAAATCCCTTCTGTAAGCTGTACTTTATTCATAACTCCTGGAATCCAAGCCAAAGCCCTGATCTAGATTGTCATAATTATGTGAAGTTCTTTATTTTTTCTTTCCCTTTTGATTATTTCTTTCAACATCTCTCAATCCCTGAAGCAATGTACACTGCTGGGCCTCTTGTAAAATCAAGATTTACTCTATGCTCTATCACATGGCCTTAGTGAGAATGCTACATCAAAATAAAATATGACACACTCTCATCGCTGCACCACACTGGCTCTCACCAGGCTTTAGAAATTGTGTCCAACAAGCTTTTGATCGCTTCATTACTGAGCATTATTGTTGTGGAATTCATCTGTTAATAGGGTTGTATTGTTGATTTTTTTCTTCTGCTGGTGGTTATTTGTCAAGTGTTGGGCATGGAGGGCTTGTACGGGGGGCTGTACTTGTTGTAAGGCTGTGTTTATTATTTTATTACGGTGCTTTATTATTGTTCCCTTTTATTGCTTTGTTTTATTGTTCTGTTCCATACTGTTTTGCAAGCCACATGTATTAGAAATGGATATATACTGGTAATATAAACAAGTAAATAATAAGTTATGGACCTTCTATACCATTTATACTGTCTACTTCTTGGTACATCTTTGGTTAGATTTTGTCAAGTGCAAACTGAGATCAGTTCCAGCCAGGCAAACAAGACAAACCTTCTGATTATTCAGAGTGTTAGCTCTAAATTTGTTAGTCCATTTGGGGTGGAGGCAGGAGAAATTTAAGAATCTTGGAGAGCATGGGCACTGTTGCATTAGTTAGTGTGGAGCTATGCAGGATGTTGAACTTTGGAGAGCACTCAATGGAGGTAAGTAATTCTTCAGTGTCAGGAGAACTTTTGTTTTTTACTGTCATGAGTATGCTTCAGGGAACATTATTGACAAGCGCAATATCTTTTATTCAGAGTTGCAGCTTTATCTTTTTTATATAATTTAAATAATTATAGTAATGGTAATTACTAATGGAGCTGCGGTGGCTCAAGTGGTTCAGACGCTGAACTGCAGGCTGTGGAACGTCGGTAGTTCAGCAGTTCGAGACCCGGGTGCTGCATGACAGAGTGAGCTCCCGTCTCTAGTTCCAGCTCCTGCCAAACTAGCAGTTCGAAAGCAAGAAATTGCAAGTAGATAAATAGGTACCACTTCAGTGGGAAGGTAACAGCGTTCTGTGTCTTCGGCTTTGAAACGGAGATGAGCACCGCAACCCTAGAGTCGGATTCGACTGGCTTTCGAGCAAGGGAACCTTTACCTTTACCTTTAATGGTAATTAGTGTAAATAGGGTTGCCAAATCCTGAAACCTTACCTGCGGGGGAGGCTCCGTCCCGGTCGGGAGCCGGCTGTGTGTGCACGCGCGCCGCCGCGATGTCACCGGAAGTGACGTCAGATGTTGCTGACGTTGGGGGCGTGGCCGAGCTCGTCAGGGGGAAAATATATGGTTCCCCCCCGACGAGCTCAGCCACGCCCCCAACGTCAGCAACATGGCTGCGTCACCCCCAGGCCCCGATTCCGCCGGGGCGGAACTCGGGGCTCCGAAGCAGGGGATTCCCTGCCCCCCGGGGTCATTTGGCAACCCTAAGTGTAAATATGTTTTTTGGTATTGTTTTCATGTATCTATATGTGTTACTTCTCTAAGCTCCAAACCCTCTTGTAATATTTTTATTGGTTAGTTATTTGTATTTGCAAATCCCCTACACTATTACTGTGTGTTATGTGATAACTGAATATTTGATCCTTATCACCAATAACCTTTGAAACCCATCCTGGTTGCAGTTATACATGGATTGACATGCTTAATTTTTTTGTTAACATAACTGTTTAGCTTTGTAGTGGTAGGATCTGATACAGTAGAAAAGAGTTCTGTAGTACCTTAAAATTTGTGGTAGGCTTATACCCTACCACAAATTTTGCTAGTCTTTAAGGTGGTACTGAACTCTTTTCTACTGCCACAGGCAGGCTAACATGGCTACCCATCATGATCTGTTACTGTTCACCTCAAGAACTGGCTTTTGCAATTTTGAGTGTAAATGAGGGATGTGCATTTCCACCAAATCTTCTAGCATTTTAGTTGTGCATGACTGGAACTGGATTGGGCAACCTGAATGTTTTTTATGCCTTTTTAAACAATTATGACCCTCCTTATATTGCTTTTAATACACATTTGTACCAGAAGGTTTTTGGGGGACTTTGACTTTTGTGTGTGTGTAGTTTTAAAGATTGCATTTTTATCAATGTCACAGTATTAGACTATTATTGTATTTTTTGTGAGCCACCGAGAGTTGATAGAACAGAAAGATGTGGTATATACATTTATTAACAATAACTAAATGATAAAATATTTCATTATTACTTTATTTTTTCATCTTCTCAGGCAGTTTTTGGATCAGAGTGCCTTTATTTCCTTTCTGTTCTCCATATTTCTCTTGAAGAGAACACATATCACATTGTGCTATGTATAATTAATGGCTAAGAAAATAAGATACAGTCATATTTACATTTCTGCCTGAATTATAAGTACATTTTTTGGCAATTAATCCAACTGATTTCTGTAAAATTTATTTCTGATAATGACCCAGAATCATTTGACTGTAGATTGTGATCTGAACATTTCAGATAGTGTTATTCAAAAATCTAAATTAAAATGCCATGTCCAGTCAGTCATGCATTCATTTAGATTTCAATACCCCATTTTTCTCCCCAGTGATGCCTCAGACAGCTTATAACATAGTTCTCCCCTCCTCTGTTTTATCCTCACAATTGTGAGGTAGCTTAAGCTGAGAGAGAAAGACTGACCTAGGGTCACCCAGCAAGCTTGTATAGCAGAGTGGGGATTTGAACCTGAGTTTCCCAGATCCCAGTCCAGCACTCTAACGGCTTTACTGTAGTTCTGTTCATGGTATCAGTTCTATCAACAGAATATTAAGGAAAATGAATTAATATATCATGTTAATTAAGTCGGCTCTGAACATGTCTTACCGAGTCCATTAGTACTTTACATGCATTGTCCACTATTTTTAAAGTGTTCCACAATTCTGCTCTTAATTGTATTTCTCTCTGTCCCTCCTGGCAACTGGCAGGGGGATGGGGGGAGTTACTTGTAGAAAGAAGAAGGCCTAGGCAACATTGCCAGCATCACACAGAAAATGATGTCATCATGCCAGCGACTTCCAGGTGACACTCTGGTATTTGGGCAAAAACTCTATTGTAAAACTGGCTTCTACCATAGAGGTTTTGCCCAAGTGTCACCTGGAAGTAGCTCTTGTGATGACATCACTTCCTGTGCTACACCAGCAATGTGGCCTAGGCCTTCTTCTTCCTACTGGTAAGTCCCCCCCCACTTGCCAGCTGATTGGTCACTGGGGGGCAGGGCCTGGTAGTGATGGACCTCTACCAGGGAGTCTGGTACCCCTGCTCTAACCCCTCACCTTCTGACAGCACACTGCCTAAGTTCATTTTCTGTGAGCCCCTTTGTTTCTTTTTCTTATTTTTTCCTCTGTATTATTAATTAATTAACTTCATTTGTCATTTGCCTTTGAGACTCAAGGCAGATTATGGAGTTATTAAAAATACAATAAAGACAGTATAGTGTATGTCATGAACAATGCAATTATGTCTTTCCCTTTGCATGGAACTACCTGGTTACTTACCTTTTTGCTGCATTCAGATGTTACATGTAACTTAAGTCGGGGGGGGGAGTGGGCACAAACCTGGGTTGTTGCCTGTCTCATGCACATACCTTGCTTCTGTGTGTGTAGTGGTTAAGTGCACAGACTCTAATCTGGGAGAACCAGGTTTGATTCCCCACTCCTCCATTTGCACCTGGCTGGATTACCTTGGGCAAGCCGTAGTTCTGATAAGAGCTGTTCTTGAAAAAGAGCAGTTTCTGTCAAGAACTCTCTCAGCCCCACCTACCTCACAGGGTGTCCGTTGTGGGGAGGGGAAGGGAAAGCAGTTTGTAAGCCACTCTGAGACACCTTCGGATAGTGAAGGGCGGGGTATAAATCCAATCTCTTCTCTTCTTCTTCTTCTTCTTTCTCCTTTGCCTCCCTTCTCATACCAAGAGTCACAGCATAACACTAATTCTGGTTCTCATGATGGAGAAATACAGTTGCACAGTTTAATCAGAGTTAGTTTCCCACTAGCCTTAATCCAGTTTTAGAATCCTGGTGAGTTTGTATGTTTGTGTGTGAGGCGGGGGGAAATTCCAATTAATCCATGCACTTGTATTCAGGTCTTGGGTAACCAGGGCTCCGGTCACACGGGCAGGAAACTGCGGGGGAGAAGCGTGGCTGTTTGCCCCGGGGCAAACTAACGCGCGGTTAAGGAATCAGACCTCCCCTGGAGGTTCCATGGAGGTTCTGTGGGAAGGGAGAGGTCCTGATCACAGGACGATCCTGCGCGCAACAAAGAAGCGCGTGGTGCGGCAAACGGGTGTTTTTTTCCCGTCGTGTACACAAAAAATGTGCATGCTCTGTTTGGTGCTTGTGCGCATCCACGGAGACTTGGGAAAAAAACCCCTTGTTTGCAAGGGGACATGGGCGGGCACTGGATGCCACCGGAAACGCGATCAGACGCCCGCCCTTGCCCCGCAGTTTCCAGAAACTAGTACCTCTGAGGTACTAGTTTTTTGCAGCGCGGTTTCGGCGGGAAGCCTCGGTTGAGCCACGGAAGCGCTACGCTTCCCAGATGTGCCGGTGAGATCGCACCCGGAAACTCCGCCTGACTTCCGTCTCTCTAGCGTGGCTAATGTTCTGTGTGACCGCAGCCCAGAGTTTTATTTATTTGTGATGTTCAGAGCAAGAAGAAATGAGTGTGAGGCCAGAAACAAACTGGGGTCATGTGCATTTCTCCTTAACCACAGTTAGATATGACATCTACCAAGACACATTTATTTAACAACAAAGATACATTTAACTGCTATGCCTGTTTAGATAAAGACACATAATGAAAGTCTCTTCCTGTGAAAATTAAAATGAAATATGCCTTTAGAATTAAAGACAGTGCTTGAAAGTCAGGAATTTGTGATGAATGCGTACATAGCAAGATTTAAGAAGATTGAGTCACATTCAGTGATGACCTGAGGTTTCCATAGCATGGAACAGAGTGCAAGATTAAAGAACGGATTATAACAAATTTAAAAGTTCCTTATTAGGGTGCAAATGTTTTAAATAGTAGGTGAAAGTTAATCTCAGTAGATTAAAATGATATTTTGTTAAATAAAACTGAGACAGAAACAAAGACTTTTAGTACAGTTCTTATAAAACTGAACTCTAAACTGATCATTTGTGCTATTGTCAGAGATGTACATGGAAGACTTCGGAAATTCTTAAGTATCTGCCTGCTGTATTCTATACAATTAAATTATGTGCCATATATTATGTATACTCCTGAGAAACAGATGATTTCATAGAGAAATATATATATTCATTTTGCTGACCAATGAATTTGACATTTGCTTACTTTAAGGATCACTAATAAGGAATGTTTCATGTCTAAATTTGACATTTCAAATGGGATTATTAGGCAAAACAGAATCTAATACAACAGAATAATGACATAAAAACAATGGATTTTGGCTGGCATTTATATAATATCTGATCATTAAACAAATTTTGTTCTGGGGCTCAAAGAAACTATCCAGAACTCCTTAAGAATATTTATTTATTTATTTATTAGATTTTTATCCCGCCCTTCCGGCCTAGGCCGGCTCACATAAAATTATTGTGATGCAAGAGAAAATGATAAGGGTAGTGATAGGTTTATAAAATTAGCCTTGTAAATTAAACAATAAATGTAACAAGTATTATCAATATACAGTGGTTATATTTGTCTACTGTATTGTAGTTATATTTATTAGGAATGTCAAGTGATGAAAGATGCAGGAAAGTAATTAATTAAATTCACTTTTTATCAAAATGTTAAGATGGGTTCCTTATTTTGAGGAAACAGGGCATTTTCTCTTCGGTCAGACAATGTACAATTTGAATTTTAAAAGTTATCACGTATTTTTAGAAGGAAAGGCAATCTTTAATATTTTCATTTCCATCACATTTAGAAATCTGTAATATTTAATTTTCCATATTACAGTTAAGATGTTACAGTTTAAAAGTGAACAGATTCCATTAGTATTATAGAAGATCCACATTTGAAAGATCTTTTTAACGATTTCAGCTTCAAAGAAATCTATAGAGATTTCACTCAGGAGTACAAAATACCTATTGGCTTGGATTGGAAACTGGACAGAAAGAGTTAAACTTCTTTTTCTAAAATGTGACAGAATAAGGGAGCCAGTGTGTCTTTGTGCCCTTCGATCCAATATCCGTCAGTTAAGAATGGAACAGATTCCAGTCTGTGCTTGAAGTTTTAGTTGATTAATCTACCAATTATCAATTCAAACTTGCAGCGCTAATATTTACAGATATATAAACCTATGCTTTGGTGTTTATGCATGTATTGTTGGACCTTTTTATTGTCCATTTTATGTTAATAATGCCTTTCTGTGAAATATATTGGTTATAAGGGGATGCAATGGTGTTTACTGAAAGAAGAGGAAGTCCTTCCCCGTATCAGAGCTATGGAAGGACGTAGAGGACGACCGCCAAATCCAGAAAGACAGCGTGCTAAAGAGGAGTCGAAAATGAGGCGTCGCAAGGGTCGGCCTCCAAATGTTGGTAGCACCGAGTTCCTTGACAACACAGATGCTAAACTGTTGAGGAAGTTACAAGCCCAAGGTAAGAATTTCATTATAGCTTTCCCCCTCCTCCCAACTGGTTGAAAAAGTATCGGTGGAATATTGATTCTACGGTTTCAGAAGGGAAGTCCTTGTCACATACCACTGTTAAAATGACAGCAATTATTATTTTTTAAATGTTCAATTTAGGGAATTGCCCAGACTATGAACTTTTCTCCATAGTTCCCAGAGGTTTCTCGGCTGTAGCCCACGCATTTTGCTTCTCTTGAGGTTCCACAACCTCAAAGGCGGATGTTGCTTTTCCAGTCCTGTTCCTTTGCAGTGTCTTTTCCTCCCTCCCGTTGCCTGCTGAGGCTTCCTTACTCTGGGTGGAGGGGACGAGAGAGTGACTGTGGATGGTACAGAGCTGAAGAAGCAGCCCTTGCCATTTCTTTCATACTTCACAGCTGTTGAAAAACCCTGCCTTTGTATTTTAATACCCATATACCTTAACATGATAACAGTCCTTACACATTTGCTTGATTCAGAAGAGAGGGAGGATATGAAAGATCTAGCCGTATATTGATCTTTAGAAATCTGTATTGTTCTCTGTCCTATGCTTCTGGGTGTATCTAGCATTCAGAGAGAAAGGATACGTGTGTGTGTTTCAGCTGTTCAAGGCCCCAGTTTTGTCATTTAAATTAGTCTCATATGCTTTTATATCCTTCTCAAAATAGTCGATGTTAAGCACTTTAATATAATAGTCCCTTTCTCTACTATTATTAGTTCAGCCATCTCTATTCCTTTATTTCTTAAGCATACATTTGCTATGATTCTGTTCCTATGTGAACACTTCCTTGTCTGTAGAAATGGATTCTGGCTCCAAAAAACTTATGCCCTTAATACATTTTGTTAGCCTTTAAGATAACCATGAGACTCTTTGATACTGTATATAAATCCATGTTGGCAGTCATCCGAAGAAGATAAGAAGATAGGCGGAAGACAGGAGAGCCTGGCGGGAGATTGTCCATGGGGTCGCGAAGAGTCGGACTCGACTGTGCGACTGAACAACAACAACTCTTGATGTCTCACTAGCCTATGTTTATATTTCTGATACATATATTTATTACCTGTACAAAACATGGAATTTCCTTTCTATTCTGCTGTGTTCTAGTGAATGATGAAGAGATTTAGTGTAGCTTGGCTTCCATACCACAGACATACACACACCAGTTTTGTGTAGTCATTAAGGCATCTAGCCAATTATAAAGTATTTGATTCCCCTATCTTGAGGATTTTCTATTCATGTTGGTAGTCTGGCCTGGGAGCCTTCAAGTTAACAATATATTATTTCTCAGAGGACTTCAGGGCTCGTTTCACTTGTGCTTTATTGAGCTCTCCCTAAACATTCAGGCATTTCAGAAACTATTCATGTGGTAATTTACCTGGGGGATTTATGAGGCATGGATAATCTATATGTAGATATTTACATGACCAAGGTGTAAATGCTTGCCTAGATGAGAGCTCACGCTTTACAATGTGCGAATTTGTTCTGAGGAATCATCATTAAAATTTGCTAGCACTGGCACAAAACTTCAATTTGACAATGATAATGAAGAAGCTTAATATTATACTAACCCATTAGAAATAATTGCCTGCTAAAGGGGGAGAAAGGGGTAGCAAGCAAAATTTTTGGCAGTCTAAAAAACTGGGAAAAAGCCTTCCTTATCACTACTGAATTCAAATTTCTATTACACTACTGGTTTTGATTACCTCAGCTGAGAGAACTTTAGTGGATCAGTTCCAATAGATGAAAGCAACTTTATCTTCTCATCTTGGGACTTGAGCTCTTGGTATGATGTCTTTTTGAAAAAGAGAGAGTTTTCATCAGCATTTCTGCTGCTTGTATTTACATATGTGCCTCATGATGCGATAAACATTACAGAGCTGAGTTCAAGCTTCTAACACTTATGTGAGGAGGATAATTACCCAGCACTTGGCACATGCTTCAGAGAACATGCCAACCTTCTGGAAATTCTAATTTCAATGGCTCCTGATTCTGTCAACTGGCACATATGTATAGTTCCAAAGAGTGTGCATCTGTGGCATAAATGTTCTGCCAATAATTCCCGGGGGGGGGGATGCTGTAAAATAATTTGTCTTGCACTTGAGATTCTGCTGTGCCATGTCCAAGTATGATATGTATAGCTGTGGGTTTCACAACTGTTGCTGCACACTGTTGCTTTTGCAGAAAGCCTGGCTGTTTTGCTGGGAGACCCCATAACTCAGTGTGAGAACACAAGCTTGGCATATTGATGTTCCAGTTTAGATTTGCCAAGTCCAACCATAGCTGCAGCGGGGGGAATCCCACCCCCAAAGTGCATCGCGGAGATGTGCCCGGCATGATGACGTCACCCAGAAGTGACATCATCGCATCAGGCATGTTGAGGGCGGGACCACTATCATTTGAGGGAAAGCCATAGAGTTTTCTCTCGAATGATAGAGCTTCCCCCTGCAATGTTCCTGGTGACGTCATCACGCTGGGCACGTCTCTGCGATCCCGGCACTTTGGAGGTGGGGTTCCCCCTGGCGGCCTCATCCGGGCCGGCAGGTAACGGACCCACCGAGCAGAGGTTCCCCCCCCCGGGGACCTGGCAACCCTATTCCAGTTTCAACCCCCAACTTATGCAGTTAAAAGACCTCAAACAGCGGAAAATACTGATCTGATAGCCCAGTGTGTGTTGGGAGTGGTTAGGTAGGCCTTGTAGAGAGCAATGTTCAAATATGTGCTGGCTACCTGAAAACTCATTGTGCCAGCCAGACTGTATCAACCTAGCTTTCCTGTATCAACCTAGAAATTGAGAAGATGAGAAGAGAACTGCGTACACGGACCTGATTTCCTAAGGAGGAAGAACAGGCTACAAATGCAAACAATAAATAAATGGTCTGAATTGAATCAAGCAAGTTCATACTATGCTCTTATTACACTGGAGTGATGAGTCTGCTTCAGTGGGGAGGGCGCCGTAGAAATTTGATTGATAAATAAATAAATAAATATGTAGCCCTGTAAGTGGCACTGTAGTAGAGGGGATGGTATTCATGCAGATTAATTTAGTATTTAAGATACAGCACTTTTAAAAAGCAAAAAGGGAGGGCTATCCTTGCCAAATCATACTTTATACTTCCCTACTCAGAAAACCAGAATAATGTGAAAACAATTTGATTATTTTTCAGGAGGAATACTGATTATTACCTATTTGTGTCTGAACCAAATTTAACAAGAACTGTCTAGATCAGTTACTTCATTTATACTCTGCTTCTCTCCCCAGTTGGGGACCCCAAGCACTTTACACAATTCTCTTCTTCTCCATTTTATCCTCACAACAACCCTGTGTGTGACTGACCGTTGTGGGCCAGTCAGGGTTCAGTAAGAGCAAGGACTCCTCAGTAGAAGAGGAGCCCCATGTTGCCAGCTCTGAGTCAGCAGAAGCTGGCAAGAGGGAAGGTGAGCTGGAGGCTTGTCAGGATTCACAGCCAACAACAGGTGCAGAACCACTGACACCCTCCAGCTCTGATTCAACAGGTGAAACTCAGTTGATCATTTCCAGCCCTCCAGTATCAACCACACTCTTAGAGTGCCACAGACGGAGGCTATGAACAGAACTACAGGAGAGATGACAAAGTGCACACCTCCTGGCCCGACACCAGCTGCTTGAGTAGTTGCAGGATTACTCCCGAGCACCTGGCTACAAGTATGACCGTTAAGCATATGACTGTAAGAATCAAGGATTTTTTCAAGGAAAGGGGAGCTAATCAACTACCACCCCATTGGCAGTATGACTGCACCATAGACCTGGTCCTTGGTGCACCCCTGCCAGTAGGGCATCTGTATTCATTATTGGAACCTGAGTTGCCTGCACTCCGGGACTTCCTCACCAAAAACCTGCAACAAGGGTTTGTCCCTCAGCCTCTCCCACCTCCACGCCCATACTTTTTGTTAAGAAGAAGAGCAGAGAGCTCCAGGTTTGTAACGATTATGGGGCCCTGAATAAAATCACCCTAACCTGCTATCTCTGACTTCTGACCTACTGGAACACCTAAAGGGAGCCCAGATTTACACCAAACTGGACCTCCAGGGTGCTTACAACTTGGTGCACATTCAGGAAGATGATGAATGGAAAACTGCCTTTGGTACAAGGTATGGTCACTTCGAGTACCTGGTAATGCTGTTCAGGTTGATCAACACACCCACGGTGTTCCAGAGATTCATGAATGATATTTTTCGAGACCTCCTGGTCCAGTTTGTTTTTATTTATTTAGACAACATCTTAATTTACTCACAAACCCCAGTAAAACACTCCCAGCATTTGAACGTCATGTTACAAAGACTATGGCAGCATAGCCTGTTTGTCAAGTTGGAGAAATGCACCTTTGATCTGCAAGCTGTGGAATTCCTTGGGCATGTGATTTTGCTGCACAGGATCAAAATGGATCCAAAGAAAGTCGATGCTGTACAAACATGGCAGGCCCCATGCTCCTGGAAAGATGTGCAGTGCTTCTTGGGCTTCGTAAACTACTACCAGCAGTTTATCCTGGGTTTACTTCCATCACCGTCCCTCTGACACAACTCTTGTGTCCTCGGGACATTCCAGTGGATGCTGGAAGTGGACCGAGCATTTAAAACCTTGGTTTATCTCTGAACCCCTGCTCTGGTACCCCAATCCACAACTGCCTTTCATTTTTGAGGCCGATGCCTTTAGTACAGCAATAGGAGCTGTATTTTCACAGTGAGATAACTCCTCAAATACTCTGCAGGCTTGTCAGGATTCACAGCCAGCAGCTGGTGCAGAACCACCGACACCCTCCAGCTCTGATTTAAGTGAAACTCAGTTGATCGTTTCTAGCCCACCAGTATCACCCACACCTTTAGAGCTCCGCAGACGGAGGCTATGAACAGACCTACAGGAGAGACAACAAAGTGCATGCCTCCTGCCCTGATGCCAGCTGCTTGAGTATTGCAGGATTACTCCCAAGCATGACCCTTAAGCATATGGCTGTAAAATCAGCCAAGAGAGGCTGTTAGGCGTGGAAGCAACAAGACAAAATCCCTCTGACTCTGCAACCGATGCACTGGATTTTGCCTCTACCCTGTGACTCTTCAGACTGTTTCCTGACTCTGCCTTCATCTTGCTCCTGAATCTGCTTGTGAGTAACCCTTGGATTCTCTGACCTTGCTGTACACACTGACTCTCACACTAGACACCTGACTCTGTGCTTAACCCTGGACCAGACTTTGACTACGCTTCTTGAGGAGTTGGTGCTCTTGTCTTGCTCGCTCCACGCTTTGACAGCACGTGCTACGCTGTTCCCAGCCTGTCTTGCAACACTGACCCAAGGTTCCATGGCAAAAATATTAAAACATAATCTGAGTTAAAATGTTCAGTTCTACAAAATACTGTATTAATCCAATCATTTAATTATTCTTAATTAATTATTATTAATCATTAAAATAATAATGCTTTACTTATTAATTATTTAATTATTAAATATTTAAATACTGTATTTATTTATTTTAATGGTTTCTATCCCATCCCATCCATCCACTGTCATTCAAGGTGGCTAAAATTAACATACTTTAAACCATTATTTTAAAAACCAATAACAATTGTCTCAAAAAATCAGAAGACTTTTTAACATCCAGTATGACAAAAAGTACCCTGACCTGGATAGCCCAGGCTAGCCTGATCTTGTCAGATCTTGGCTGCTAAACAGCATTGGCCCTGGTCAGTATTTGGATGAGAGACCATCAAGGAAATCCAGGTTTTCTATGCAGAGGCAGGCAGTGACAAACCACCTCTATTCCTCTCTTACCTTGAAAACCTTACAGGGTTGCCATAAGTCAGCTGCAATTTGATGAGACAAAAAATTCTGGTGAATTTGAAAGTTTATATACTGTTTAGATCGGGAAGTATCAGCCCACTATTAGAAAGATTTCCTGGGAGAGCAAATAAAACCAAGCTTGATTATCTCCTGTCTGATAGAAACCACCAGACTACTCGTCAGGTGGCTAAATTCTGTGCTCAGGTTTACAAGCACCAAAAATCCCATATGGCAGCATGACTTTGTAGTTATTTGGTATGATTCTTTGTTTCTAAGACTTAATTCTATCTTTTTTATCATTTTTAAATTTTCTTAATCAAACTGTACTGCTGGTCGCTGATGTAATAAAAATAAAGTGATGTTCCCTCCATGTACTGTTTATAACAAGGTTTATGCCATACTGTACATTGAATAAAAATGCAGATGATACTGCAGAAGCAGACCACAATCATTGGCATGCAGAGTGCTTAAAATATATTATCTATATCATCTGTGGTAAAAAACACAATTGTGCTCTTTATATAGGATGTCTCTGTCAGTGTAATCTTCTCTGTTGAAGCAGTTGGTTTGCGGGTTCAAGGAGGGGTAGAGGGGGAGTTATTAGAAGGAATGACACACACACAGAGCATCTTTTGGTAAAACATGGCTGCAGCTTATTTATTTGACTACAGACAAAGGAGCCATGGCACAGCATCGGGATGGATCCAAGCATCGGACAACCCACCTGCCGACCCGATGAACCCCTTCCCCAGCCCACCTGCTGGGGTAAAACTGTGGAGTGGAAAGATAACGGGACACATGTGGGTGCTGGCCTCTGGCTGGTCCCTTGCCACCTGGTGCTGTAAGCCAGCCAGAAGTCCCCACCTGGGCATGCGGCTGAATGGCTCTACACCCCAAGGCCACTTATGGGAGTCCCCAAAATGGAGGAGGCAGGCACGCAGGCACAGCCTCCTCCCCAAACAGATCTGTTCCCATGCCTAAACTGCCAAGCTGTGACAGTAAAAACAATCAACTAACACATGAATCATAACAACCAATATACGAGGGTGGGTGGGTAAGCCGGCAAGCCAGGAAAAGAGGCCAAGGAACACGTGCAGGCTTGCTTAAGTAGTCCCTGGGCTCTTGCTGCCTGTGCCCACCCTCTGATGTGATGCATGACATGGCACGCTGAGGGGAGAGCCGACTCAACCCTTTCCCATAGCCTGAAGGGGCTATGTGGCCAAACAGTCCCCCTTCCAGCCTCCCCTGCCTCCTGGACCACAAACAGTGGCTGAGGTGAGTCTCTTGCCATGCTTTAAGGTGGTTTCAGAGCATGTTGGTCTGTAGTAGAAGAGCTCGATCTGAGTCCAGTAGCACTTTAGAGACCGACAAGATTCCCAGGGTATGAGCTTTCTTGAATTAAATCTCCCTTTATCAGATTTGGTATCTGACAAAGAGAGCTTTGCCTTTCGAAAGCGTATACTCCGAAAATCTTGTTGGTCTCCGAGGTGCTACTGGACTCAGATCTAGCTCTTCTATAAGGTAGGCATGACAAAATATTCCGTCACTCTGGCTTCATCCAATAAAAGGCATGAGCAGAAGGGAAGTAAGCCATTCAGCAAACTGCGATGGCAGAGGAAGTTGAATGATACATTTACTGTGCTTGTAGTACCTCTTAATTTATCTGCGAGACCTTGACAGAAAATGTATCACTCTTTCACTGTGATCCTAAATGTATTAACTGAAACTTACTTTGTCTTTGTGACTTACATTATCAATGTCTGGCCTTCAATTATGTTGCTGGTATTGTCACTGTTGTTCCTATTATTGATTTAAAATTAGTACTCTTAGGTTGTGAAACCCTTAAGTAGATAATCCTCACAATAGGCCTCATGGCACTATAAACACATAGTTTGCCCTATACCATATTGGAAATTAGGAAATTAAGGGAGCAAGCCTAACCGGGTCTTCTTGGAAGTAGGTCTTATTTGATTTAATGGGACTTACTCCCAGGAAAATGTAGCATTAATCTGCTCATATAAAATGCTTCTGATAAACGGGTGAATATACTATGAGGTAGGTGATTAATATCCTTACACTATAGATTGGAAAATATTGAGAAAAATATAAATATTCGAATTAATTTCATTGATAAAGGCTAGAAAAATTAAACTGAATGAAGCTAGTTTTTACAATGATATTTCAATACATTATAAACAGTGGGCCTATTTACATATGCCTGGAACTAATTGTAAGTGGGAAGCTTACCAATTAAATAATGACTGTGATTTAGATTTCTGTGTCCAGAATCTCAGTGTCTTGTAGCCATATAAAGTCTTCACAGGGGTCCCCCTAGCCCCAGACAAGGAGGGTTAGGCACAAATTTGTGCACTTCTTCAAGGCTGTAATCAGATGGCAAGCTTAACCACTCTTGAAGTTAAATTGTGTACAATCCTGGTATGTTGCCAGGCTGTTATGCATACCTTGCTCCTCACCCCTCCTTTTCATGCACAGAATTGGGGTTAAAAATGAATTCTGGTTGCCCATGACATAGGAATGCAGGAACATAGGTTAACCAGAGTTCGTTTATTCCACCTTAACTGGTGGGCCAAACTAGACGTTAAGGTGTCCACGGATTGGATCCATGGCCTCTGCCACCATTTTAGAACTGAACTCGGGCTATTTAAAAATATTGCGAGGGCATGAGAAGACCAGGCGCACTTGTTTCACACACGCATGTCTTTTCAAGTGCCGAAACTACCTGTTTTGGCGCTTGAATAGGCATGGGGAAGGGAAACAAGATCATCTTAATCCTCACAGCACTTTTAAATGTGCTGAGTTCGGACCACTCTTGAAGTTAAATTGTGTACAATCCTGGTATGTTGCCAGGCTGTTATGCATACCTTGCTCCTCACTCCTCCTTTTCATGCACAGAATTGGGGTTAAAAACGAATTCTGGTTGCCCATGACATAGGAATGCAGGAACATAGGTTAACCAGAGTTAGTTTATTCCATCTTAACTGGTGGGCCAAACTAGACATTAAGGTGTCCACGGATTGGATCCACGGCCTCTGCCACCATTTAAGAACTGAACTCGGGCTATTTAAAAATATTGCGAGGGCATGAGAAGACCAGGCGCACTTGTTTCACACACGCATGTCTTTTCAAGTGCCAAAACTACCTGTTTTGGCACTTGAATAGGCATGGGGAAGGGAAACAAGATCATCTAGTGCAGCCACACAGCCAATCCTCACAGCACTTTTAAATGTGCTGAGTTCGGGTCTAAAATGGCAGTAGTGACCACAGGTCTAGCCCATGAACACCACAATGTCTAGTTTGGTCCTGGCATGTTAAATCAGAGTGAATTCTGCACAGGAAGGGAGGATGGAGTGAGGCAGGTGTGCAATCCTGTCATACAGTTTAGTTTAACTACAGTTAAATTTACCATCAGAATGCAGCCAAAACTTTTAAGAAATGAGTGGCAATAAATTGCTATGTTTGGTGCATAAATTTTAATGAGATGGAACTAAAGATTGTAAAACTTTCAGAAATTCCAGTGTTTGTTCTGCAGGAGTAGACTACACTAAGTCAGCACTTCTTATGAGACTAGTGCTCAGTACTTTACAGTCTGTGGGCTGTATTGTGGGCTTTAGAGTCTATGGGCTGTATTGTGGGCAACCAATGGCCTTTTTTTTTTTAGCTTCTGGAACTTTCCTTTAATAGCTTTGGGTTGGATCCAACCAACTTTTCCTTTGGTGAAAAAGGGTCCCCTTTGATAACCAAAAAGAGTATTGGGGGGGGGATAATGGGATCTGCATAAACATGTTGGGTGGGAGTTGTAGCAAGGAGGGGAGTTAGGTGAGGTGGAGTGAAAAAGCTGGCTGGATCCAAGCCCTTTGTCTACAGCTCTTGAAGGGTCTCACAGTGCAATCTGAAGCAGAGTTCCATTCTTCTAAGCCCATTCATTTCAATTATTGTAGGAGGGTGTACCTGTGCTTCTAACTGTACTGTGTCAGTGCCACAGCCATCACATTGGCCTGTATGGTGCCCAGCTATTTGGAACAGGAAGATCCATCCTTTGCATTCTTTGTGATGCAGTTGTGTGACACTTGCCATTGCTCTGCTCGTTGATGGCATATGAAATAGTTGCAGCCGCCCTTCTAAGGTGCAATCAGATACAATGTGATGTCATTACATTCTGGGTGGGGCTTTTTGCCAGAACTGGATGTGTCTGTGTGCACCGCCTAACACTTCACTGTAGGCAGGGTTGCCAACTTCCAGGTGGGGCCTGGAGATCTCCTGCTATTTCAGTTGATCTCCAGACAACAGAGACCAGTTCCCCTGGAGCAAATGGCTATAGTGTATGGCACTATACCTTGCCGAGGTCCCTCCTCTTCCCCAAACCCCACCCTCAAACTCTCCAGGTATTTCCCAGGCCAGAGCTGGCAACCCTAGCTGTAGGCTATGGGGGGATAGCATCTGTTATTATTGCTGCTTAAAACAATTGGAAGCTTTTCTTCTTGTAGGAAAAGATTAAGAGAATCCAGCAAATCAGAATGGAGAAAGAACTTCGGGCTCAGCAAATTTTAGAGGTATAACGTGTCTGTTGAAACAAGCTTTTTACAGCAAAAAATAAAGGGGGGGCTGTTACAGGAATTATAATTTTACATCAGAGTATCATACTGTCTCAGATTTGTAGATATCTCCATTTGTACACTGAACTGTGTCTTGTACATTCTTACCTTCATAGTTCATGTAAAGCCATTTGGCAGTGGCCAATTCACCAATTTTATTTTGAGAGAATATATATATATATACAGGATCGTAAAATGGAGTTTAGTTCAAATATGAGATGAGAAACCTCTGTAGCTTTGGGGAAGCCATATTACAGGTGGCGTAAAGAGAAATGCTAAACGTTTGACAGAATCATCATCAGAAGCAATAAGCATTAGGAAAGTCTTTTTCTAGTTGACATTTGAACAGCATGATTCTAACCTTAAAGAATGTGCATGTTTACACTTTCAAAGGATTTGTGAGTCTTCACGTTGTAAACAGTTGGTTTGTATATTGGATCCATGCCATGTATAGTTAAGTCAGAGGCTATTTAAATTTAGATTTCTGTTTCAGATCTTCATTTCTGATCTGTCTGGCAACAGATTTCTTTTTAGTCTCAGTTGTTATACCAGTTGTTTTAATAAATTAAGCAATGAGAAATGTTCTGATAAAGTGCTGATAAGTGGATTCTTACTGTTGGCTTTAATTAAGATCTTGAAATTGTGCCCAGCTGATTAAGTATATTCACCTCAATTAAACATACAAATCTGTAATTGTCCCATCTTGCGTTTTAGACAAAATGTTTAAAAGCTGTGTCGTTGCCAGTAGCATTTTTTAAATTATATTTTCATATATGACATGTTCCTTAGTGTCCACACACACACCCCACAAGTTATAAAAAAAATATATACTGAGGAAGAAATCTGTTATAACCTACACATAATGTGTGGTATTGTTTTGCACCTTGTGAGGCATGAAGCTTTTATTTCTAGTCTGAGATTACTTTCCAGTTGTCGTGGTGCTGTTGCATGACCCTGAGACCTGTTTTGCATGCACAGGCAAAAAAGAAAAAGAAAGAAGAAGCAGCAAATGCCAAATTATTGGAGGCCGAGAAACGAATAAAGGTTAGTTTAGATGAGTATGGGAGTGTTGTCTTTCTTAATCTTCCAAACATTAAAACCTGATTGACAGTACACATGACCAATGGGGTAGTGTATTACATTGTCAAACAAACAAACAAACGGATAAAAAGCTTTTATTTAGTGGCCTCCATCCTACCATTCCACTGAGCAAAGTCGGAAGCTTCCTCCAACTTAAGTGGCTCTTCTGTTGGTGGCTCTTCCTCCAACAGAAGAGCCACTTAAGTTGACGAAAGGCTCCTGAGGCTGGAGGAAGGCCCCTTATCCTTGCATCAGCATAAGGTAGGACACATGCTGGTGTGTTTTGGTATGCGTGCATATACATTTGTACCTCTATGTTTTGAGTGCCTACCTAACAACCCCTCAAAAATGGTCACTGCATTTTTTAGAATTAAATATTCAGGGTTTTTTAAAAAGTGTCCTGAAATCATTATAAGCCACATATATCCTTGACTTGAATATTGGAAAGCAGATCCATTATTTTATCAAAGTCGGGATCCAAAGAGCTGCTGTGTACATTGCAGTGTTCCATACAGATATTGTTTACTGATTCCTCTGTTCTCACTATGGCCTCATGCATACCCTGAGAAGTGGTGGTTTTTTTTTTTAAGGTTAGGGAATCTTCTAGGGTAGCATTAGATATGCCAAGAAGTAGACCTAGGTAGCCTTCCCTGAGGGAGCTGAACCGGTCCTTCAGTACATGCAAGGGCTCTTTGGATCCTGGTTCAAGTTGTTGCTTTCAAGATTTGGGGGATGATAAAACTGCTTGGCTTTTATACAGAACATGAAAAACTTGTTTTTGCTTGTTGCTGCGTAGCACAGAGTTGATCACGTACCTGAAGGCTTTGGAAAGCATGTTGTCTCAGTCCTGACCTTCACATGACCTGGACATTCATTTCTATGCATCTTCTATTCATCCTGTTTTCATCCTATCCAGCACACTGTTCTAGTTTGTTAGGAAAGTTTAAAGAATAAGAACTCAATCACAGGGAAGTCCCTAGATTTTATCTTTTTTACTACTGGCTTGCATGTTGGAAAAAATAGTCCTTCTTTTAACATTCACGTTTATTAGATACTTGATTTGCTTTTTTTATATCTTTAAGGAAAAGGAAATGAGGAGGCAGCAAGCTGTTCTACTGAAACATCAGGTTTGTACACCAAGCTTCATGGGATACAATAAATGCTATTTTTAACTTATGCCTAAAATATTTGAAGGGGATGGGAATATTTTCCTTTTTTAAAAAAATCTGGACTTAAAGACTGCTGCTTAATATTGCTCTTCATCTTATGGGTAAATTGCCTTGCTTTGGAACTGGGATCTTTGGGGGGAAATTATAAAGTGGGGGTTATTTTTGACTCTGTGATTTCTGTTTCATAATGTTGTGCCAACTCTTTCTACCAGGAGTTGGAGAGGCATAGACTAGATATGGTATGGGTATGTTTATTTTTGTACATCTAACACCGCATTGTGATTTGGTTGTGATATGGTTGTCATAGCGATGCATAAAATGTAGCACTGGCTGCTGTCATATTACATACTGCTGCATGGCTTTCCAGCACAGTGCATTGCATACATCTGCTTGTCTTGTCTGTAAAAAGAGGGGGGGAAGGCACAACTTATCTCAAACTTATTATAAATTGACCCTGACAAACTGTGTATGAGGCTGTTGCCTTGACATCAAGCTGTACTAAATCAGGGATAAATTAGCCTTACCCAAAACTGTGTGCGCTTAACCTATCACAGGTTATTTACTCACCAGGCAACTTTGGCTACACATCCTGTAAATCCTATTCAATGTTTTATTCATTTTAATTGTTTCAAAATATATTCGTTATAGATCAATAAAATTATTTTAACACAGTGCAATTGGAACCATGTTAGTTTCTTAAAATGGTTACAGAATTGAGTGTGTTATCTTTTCAATAAATTAAAAAAATCTACATTATTTCCGTCTGAAAATGTAGTTTGTACTACCTTTTGCATTTTGCTATAGCCCAAGACTCACTCAATATCATAAAACCTGATGTATGGTGCAGCTTCTGTGGCTCTGGCTAAAGGACAGATACCAGTAAAGAGGACCATCTGTGTTTGTGTATGAACTGTGGCTAGTTTACCCGAAACTAGTTTTGTTTTTTTAAGACTGATAAGTTTAGGTTAATCCATTGGCTGCATACTGAATTTTCTATAAAGAGAGAAATTTATAGACCAACATGTGGTCAAAATGATCTTTAGCTAATAATTTAAAAAACCACTTCTGGTTACTTTCCAAACGACCTGCCATTACTGACTTCTATTTAATTGGCCACTCAGTGAGTAATTTGCGAGCTTTCTGTTATAGCAGATGTAAGGTAACTGACCTGTTCCAGCCAACCATTATGCTTTTTGTTCTGCCAGCTTCTGAAGGAGCCTCACAACTGACCATAAGTAAATCTGTATGCTTCTGTTTTACACTGTCTCCATGTTCATCACTTTACCTTTTGCTTTCAGTTGTTCTTGTATTTGCTTTCTAAACCTGAACTAAAACATGCACAGACTTGGCTATTCTTTCCCTTTATTTAGCGTACACCTTGACTTGTCTATTAATGCTAAACATGTCCTGTTGAGCTTTGGAATAATTTTTGTTTAAGTGACTCTGGCTTAGAGTAGTAGATTTTTTGTTCTAATTTTATCTGCTTTAATAGGAGCGAGAAAGGAGAAGGCAGCACATGATGCTAATGAAAGCCATGGAGGCACGTAAAAAAGCAGAAGTGAGTACAAAACCCCTGAAATGGGGTCACGTGTGTTCTGCCTTTGAAGAGAAAGCTTATATCATGCAGCTAATTCTGTTTGATCAGAATTAATAAATACAGTTCAGGTAACAAAAACAGGTAACTTGGAATCGGAAACCCCATTAGTTCCCTATGCCAATTAGGCAATTCCAAAATTTTACTTGGCAAATACAATTTGATTTTCCCACAGATTAATATAGTATTTTCTGTTAAGTCTGCTGGTTCTCATTTATAGATTCTGGAAACTGGTAATAGTTTTCTGGGGTAACTGGTAATTTATTAGGAAGGCATGTTGCTTAGGGTTGCCAACAGACGTGGAAAACAATGTCTTGTCATTTAATAGAGGCTTAATTTGTAAAAATGGGCAGCTGAAGCGTCTCATGGTAAGTAGGCATCCCATTAAAGGGACAAGACGTTTCTTTTCCACCCTATGTTGCTTATCTGTCTACTTGTCTGGTCTCATGAGAGTGACAAAATGGAGCCCTCTGCAGGCTTGGCATGGAACATACAAGACACTTTAAGAGCAACACAATTCTACTTTCAGTCATAGCAAGACGTAGAACTGATGTGTCCCTTCACGGTCAGCTGCTACTCCAGTACGTTTGCAGGGAATCTCCGCACGGACCAGTCACTCAACTTCTCTGTGGTTTCTTCCTACAAAGATCATTAGAATAAGGGAGGGGGAAGGGTGTTAAACAACTGCACGGTATGGAATGAATTCTATATGCATTCACTTCAAGAACCTATATCTAGAGCAATGGTACTCACTCCATAGCTCACACCAACCCCGTAGCTAACAACTTTTTTCTCGGGGCCAATGTTTTTCTGAGGGGGCCTGCCATCAGGAGAAATAAAGCTGATTAATAAGATTTTAGAAGGGAGAAAGCTTTGTGTTCCCGAAGTGAAAAAGCCGGCGGGGTGGGGGGGACGGGGATGGCGAGAACAGCTGAAGGTGACAGTCCATTCATTTCTTAATGGGATCCGGGTTGCATGCGTCTGCAGGCGAAAGGCTCGATGGCACCAAAGGACTGAATGGGGTGGGCGGGCAGACGGGGGATTTCAAATGTGCCCTCCCTTTCCCCCTCCTCCTCCTCCCATACTGCTTCTGGCACAATCCGCTCCTTTGCAGAAAACCAGCACTATGCCTGCGGGGGTGGTGGTGGACAAATATGTATAACTCTCTCTCCTCCCCCAGGATTCTTGCTGATTAGAAGGGGGTGGGGAGGGAAGCCTGAAGCCACGAAGGCTGACGGGGTTGGGGAGAGAGAAGCACAGCGGGAGTCACCTGAACCTGCCAATGCCGTCAGAGTGCCGAGCAGCCTGCAGGGAGGTTGTGAAGCCGACGGGGCTGGCAGCGATTGCGGGGTGGGTGGGTGGAGTGTGGGGGAGGGCCAGGCTGTCCTCCCAGATTGCAGGAGGGGGAGGTGGCCCCGGGCAGGAGCAGAGAGACTGCGGGTGAGTGGCCGGCTACATTGGCCACCACCTATGGTACTCAGCCTGGGCTCCTGGACGCTGGTGGGGAGCAAGTTCCATGGTGAGCTCTCAGTTAAGTAGGCATTAGGCTGTTCGGGCCAGAGGAGCTGATGCTTTGCAGCTGGCCGGGGAGGCTTGCAGGTCCCTGGAAGCTTGCAACAGCCTCCGCTGGGAAGTCATTGCCCCCCCTCTGCCTCACCACCGACTTTCTCCCGCAGCCCACACTAATTAACCCTTTCTGTGAGGCGATCGATCGGGAGTGAGGGGGCCAGGGGTACGAAGGGGGAGTCAAGGACCAGGGGAGGGTCCCATAAAAACCTCGGGGGGTGGGCCATGTGGGCCCCGCGGTAGCTACGGGCCTGGCTCACAGACAGCTACGTTCACACTCATTATCAGATTACTTTTGACCATATAGGGGTTGTCTCTTCCCAGTGCTGTTGAACTTTAGCCAGCTCTTGTGTATCTTGACTCTCGAGTGAGGGTAATGGCTTCCCTCTCTGCATTCTCACTCTCTCCTCAGCATGAGGCCCAGCAGCTCAGGCAAGAGAGTGAGATTGCCTGATTTTTCTGATTTTGACACATACAAATCTGAAATTTATAAGTACCTAGTCAACTGTCAGAGGTTAATTACCATGGCACATTACCAATCAAATACTGCTGGGTATTAAGTACCATTACATTTTATTTTCAAGATGCTACTGCATGTCAACTATAAGAACTGCCAAAATTCAACACATCCAAATAGGATATATCAAGTGATCTTCAAACTATTTTGATGAGTTCTATGTAGGACACACTTTGAATTCACAGTGGGCAACAGTGAAGAACTATGAACTGTTAAGTGTACCCTAGAACATGCCCCAGAATCCTCTGCACTGCACAGTGTAGCAGAATCCCAGAGGCTTCCTAACAGTTGTCGGTGTGGAAAAGGCTTTGTCAAGGTAGAAAGTCCAAAACTGCATATTTGCAAGAGTTTCAAATACAACATACCATGTCTTCTGTCAAATACTGCCAAATATCAGATTCTGCAAGCCAATGTCATTGGATATTAGAGGTGGATACACATCACATTCAATGATAGTGAATTTCAGTGTTTTATATTCAGAGAATATTGCAGCATTTGGCTTCTAAAATATTTGCCAGGATAATTTTGATAAGTTTTTTTTTGAGAACAAACTAATTTAATCTGTACACTCAACCCTTTGTAAAAACCAGGGATGTCATAGCTTTAATAAATAAAATGAAGAGCAAAAAATGATGAAAAAATACAGGATTTTAAAGTAGAAGCTTTAAAGCAGAAGTTTCCTGCACATTGTTCAAGGTAATTAAGATTACTGGCTATCTATGACAGAGTCAACACTGGAACAATTCAGTTATCCAAAAGCAGCATATTGCATGATTTGAGAGCAAATAGGAAGAGCAATGCCCATCATCAGTGAACACCTTCTCTAATTGGTACAGTTAAGCCTACTACATGGGTATTAATTTTGACATGTATTACTCAATTTATAAACTATGTGAAACTTCTGTATGCAACAAGCGAGGACCAGCGAGAACTCACAGGGAGGGGGCATCCCATTTCCCTCACCTTTGATTTCCCCCTCTCCCCCACCCCTTCACTTAATTAGTTTTTTGCCCCTAATTCTCCCTCCCCCTCAGACCTTCTCTCAGCTTTTCTCTTTTTCTCATTCTTCCCACCCCTTCTGTCACTCTTTCTCTCTCCCCCCTTCTCTCAGGCAGTCTCTTGCTTTTTCCCTCCCCCTTAGCTCTCAGTCTTTCTCTCTCTCTCCTTCTCGCCTCCCACCCCATTCTGTTGCTCCTCCCTTTGGCTTACTTGGCTGTTTGCTTGCTCGGTTGGCTCAACCAGCTGCAGTGGCTCAGGCTTCCACCTTTCCCCTTCCCAGTCCACCTCCATCACTTCCTCCTGTTCTCCACCAAAGTCAGCCTCCACTGTCATCTTGGCAGGCCTGATACAGAAACCCTTCAAGTTCAACCAGGCTTTCCTCCAGCACTGGGAGTTGCTAGGCAGTAACTCGGGACTCTTTTGATTGGTGCTTTATTCAGGACTTTGTTGACTGGTAGGCTTCCGTTGTCCCTTTCCCTCTTCTGCCTGCCTGGAGTATCACCAATGCTTCTGCATTTCAAGCTCATGTGACTGTGATTTCCCATCCGTCTCCCACACAGGCCATCTCCCACAAAGGCCATCTCCCACAGAGGCCTGCAGAGGCATGTTGTCTGCACAACCACTGACAACAACCCTTCCATTTTTTAATTTTGTTTTTACTTTTTTTGTGTGTTCTGTGCACCTATCAATCTGCAGTGGGGCCAGGTTCAGAATCTCTCCCTTATATATAATTGAGTAAGACGCAGCGTCACGCAGTGGAGAGAAAATGCGCACCAACAGTGTTTGGAGGCTTGAGCTGTCTGTCAGAAGCTTCCCCAGCTTCCATTGGCCGTGTTGCCTAACTCCCACCTCAGAACACTCCCCCCCCCCCGCCCAACTAGCCAGGGCTGGAGGGAATCAGTGGAAGGCTGGCGCCGGCAGCTCATCACCGCTCACCTCGGCCGGATTCTCCCCCCCCCTTTATTGCATGCCTGTTTTCCCCCCTCCCCCACCCAC